CAGAAATAAAAACACCAATACAGTATACTAACGCATGTATATGGAATTTAGAAAGATGGTAATGATAACCCTGTATGCTAGATAGCAAAACAGACACAGATGCATAGAACAGTCTTTTTGACTCTGTGGGAGAGGGCAAAGGTGGGATGGTTTGGGAGAATGGCATTGAAACATGTATATTATCACATGTGAAACAAATCGCCAGTCCAGGTTCGATGCATGAGACAGGGTGCTCAGGGTTGGTGCACTGAGAAGACCCAGAGGGATGGGATGGGGAGGGAGGTGGGAGGGGGGTTCAGGATGGGGAATGCATGTACACCCTTGGCTGATTCATGTGAATGTATGGCAAACCCAATACAATATTGTAAAGTAAAAAAAAAAAAAAATCAGAAGGGTGGGACCCTAGTTCAACTGAGCTGCTACCCTTATAAGAAGAGGAAGAGACACACGAGAGCTCTCTCCTCCCTACCTCCCCCCTCCTCTTCTCTTCTCCCCCTCTCTTGCTTTTCCCCAAAGAGGTTATTTCAGTACACAGGCATATGGCAGTTACCTGCAAGCCAGGAACAGAACTCTCATCAGAAACTGAACCCTATCAGACCTTGCTCTTGGACTTTTCAGCCTCCAGAACTGTCAGAAAATCCATTTCTGTTGTTTAAATCTCAGCCTGTGGTATTTTGTAAGGCAGCTCAAGCAAACAAATACAATATTGGACAAACCACCGTTTTTCATCAAAACGAGTAACCAAATCAATGATAAGAAAGTGGAGGATGTTTAAAGGCTGAATCTACCGATTCACAGATGCAGAACAGTTGGCTCATGCCTTGCCTCTCTCCGGGATGAGAGGAAGCATAAACAAATAAGACATTTTGCGTCTTCTGTTTCACAAATGTTAAAAATCATGAGGGTAAAAAATGTTCCTATTAAAAATATCCTTCTTTAAAAAAAAAAAAGTTGACCTTTATACTCTTAGAACTTTAAAAACAAAAACAAAAATCCTCACCCAAAGAAAATAAATGAAAAGCCTTTTTCCAATTTTAAGATACTTAAAGGAAAAACACTCTGAGCCTGAACTGTTCCAAAGCACAGCTAGCTGTCAAGTTCCTAATGGAATCAGGTTTTTGAAAGGTGTGCAAACATGAAGCTATTGTGTGGGGCGGGGGAAGATAAACACTTTGCTCACTAAAGAAAAGCAAACTAACAGCAGTCCACCCAAGCGTTGTCAGGACCAGACAATGGAATGCTCTGGTTTCCAGGCCCCTGAACAGAACTCATGTCCCGCAGGCAACCCCCACCCCGCCTGTCACATACTGCAGTGAACCTCGTCACTCCAGTCGTCGCAGTCGTTGTAGCCGTTACACTGCAGTTTCCTGGGGATACAGATGCCACTGGTGCACAGAAAGCTCTCGCCCCCTCTGCAGAGCACTAAAAAAAAGGGGAGAGAGGCAGAAAAGCAAAGTCAAAGTAAATATGAGGGTTTTTTTTTTAAGTTAGGAGAAATAAAGAACAGAAAGAAAACCTTCTCTGGATGTTCAACAGATGTGTTTCCCAACTCCCTCAGTTTCATTGTCACCAGTTCCTCTCTGGCTTTCCAGAACACTAATTGTAAAATTACCTGGGAAGAATACACAGTGTTTGCCTGAGAAAAGTGAAAGGAAATTCGCCAGTGGGCTTTCACAGCACAAGAGAGCAGCCTGTCTACTGCACAACTTACGTGCGGAAAGATACCAAATGGGGGTGTTTTTTTAATAACCGAAAACTATTTCAAAATGAAATTTATTGAACAAACATTTAAAATCCTTCTACAACACTCAATGTCATGCAAAGAAACTTAGTTACAAATAGTCAGTTGATATGTGCTTGAACACAGGCATAGAGACCCTATGCCTTGTATTGAAATATATTTATTTACTTGCTTTAAAAAAATGCCAGTTAAAAATGTTAGAGTCTATTTTGGCATAAGGAATGTGAAACAACATTAGCTAATAATATTTTCTTTCTTTTCTTTTCCTTAACACGGTTGCACTTTGGTATTCTTTGCTTTAAGTATTATGTTCTTTTTCTTCTCAAAATTCAACAAATATTCAATTATTTCAAAATTACATTAGACAAAAAGTGTGGGAGAAGAAACTAGAAAGATTTTTCTAAGGGAGACCATTACTCAAAGGACAAATAAATTCAACAAAATGGGTGTTAAAATACACTTTGATATTTGGCAATTTGCATCAAATGCCTTTTAAATGTGTATAACCTTTGACCCAGCAATCTTATTTCTTGGCCTTCATACAAAGTAAATCATTATGAATAAGTCCAAGTTTTTATATTTAAGGGCATTAATACCATCAAAAACTGAAATAACAGCTATGCAATAATAGAAGATTGGTTACATAAATTTTAGTGCTACATAATAAGGGATACCATTACAGCCACTGAAAATTATATTGCAAAAAATAATGTCCTGGGCCAAAGTTCAAGATAATTTAAGTGTAAAAGCACCATCTGGTTCTAAAAAAGAGTAATATGATTTGGCCTAGAAAGAAGTATTAACATATCTAAGGTTACTATGATTATCTCTAGTATTGAATGTAATTTTTATTTTCTTCATTGTATTTTACTATGTATTTTACAAATGTTCTTATAATGATCATGTCTTATGTTTATAATCAGAGAAAAACTCAACTTATTTTCATGAGCTCCCAATTCAGAGTAATGGTAAAATAAATATAAGCCTCCAAAATATTTCTCTCTCCCATCCACAAAAGTTAGCAGGATCAGCCTATGGTCACCTGCCTGGCCACTGTCACCATTCCCTGAACTGTGTATTCCTTGATGAGATGAACCTTGTAGTCTAACTAAAGGGAAATAGGAAATATGGAACATTTAACTCAGAAACTGAAATACAGAAAACTTCAGACAGAACATTCCAGGCAGTCAGGTCCATGGTGCTCACATGTTCCACATTCCACATGTTGGCACTCAGGAGGTTCTTAATTAAAGGGAAAAACTCACTTCCATCTCAATGGAGCATAATATATTGCCACAGGGCAAAGGAAAAATGCAATTAATGGATTATCTTGTAATGCTATCAAGGAATCAGAGTTTCAATTTGTTGAACATTAAGTAAAAGTGCAAGTGTGTTAGTCGCTTAGTTATATACAATACTCTGCAGCCCCATGGGGTATAGCCTGCCAGGCTCCTCCATCCATGGAATTCTCTAAGCAAGAATACTGGAGTGGGTTGCCATTCCCTTCTCAGAGAATCTTCCTGACCCAAGGATCAAATCTGGGTCTCCTCCATTGCAGGCAGATTCTTACTATCTGAGTCACCAGGGAAGCCCTGTTGAACATTAAGTTTGAACTTGAGCCCCGTTGAACCAGTCAGTTTGGTATGTTTTGTATGATGGTAATTCATATGCAACCTTCACAATATCAACAATAAAAATCTGGATTTCCATTATATCTCATGATTTCTGAATCAATACAAATGACATCTATGGATTTCAACTGCCAAGACATGCAACAAGCTTAAGTTTTATAGAGTCTTAGAGCTGAAGAAGGGGATGACAGAGGACGAGATGGTTAGATGGCATCACTGACTCAATGGACTTGAGTTTGGGTGAACTCTGGGAGTTGGTGATGGACAGGGAGGCCTGGCATGCTGCAGTTCATGGGGTTGCAAAGAGTCAGACAGGACTGAGCAACTGAACTGAACTGAACTGAGAGGACTCAGCCAAGAATTGCACTACTCTAGCTACAGACAGTAACTCCTCAAGACCATACAGGAAACCAGATATAAAATGAAAAACCATAACGGTAAAGATATTACTGGCCAGTCTACACAATACCCTCTCTCCAGGGTTAAGAGAAAGTTTTCAAGGAGTAAGTGTGCATCCTATTATGAGATTGTTTCTGTACTACACTAGAAAGTGCTGAAATTCCATCTGTCTGCATTTCAGCAGCTGCAACCCCTCAGAAGATGACTGCATTCCCTGCATTATGGTTTGATGATTCCTTGGGAAATGTGGCTCAAAGTTCAACATTAAATAGTGCCTAACATCTCGGCTTCATCTTTAAGACCCCATATATTTTACTCCAATAAAGCCATTCTTGTGTAAGGTTCTATAAAATCTGGATCAAATTTATTTTTTTTTTTAATTTTTATTTTTTTTTGTGACACCTCCGCCTGGATCAAATTTAAAACATGGCATTGCTGACATGTTTTGATTACTGATATCCCGTGTCTTTGCTGATTCAGCAGAAACTGATTTCTTTTGTGTGGTTTCTCAGTCGGAGAAGTGGTGGTCCGTGGTTTTAAGACACTGAAAATTGTTCCTTTATTCTTATTCTCCCTTTGAAAGTCCTTTGGATGTTCACAGCTTCATTAATCAATATTCTTTGTACAGTTAGGATAGCTTTGTACATTCTCTTTCTGTTTGATGTTTTCTTAACCTGTATTCAGAATCTTCACTTTTGTGTAAAACTGTATTTGTGTAAAACAGTTCAACTTGCAAAACATTTCAGACATATCTCATTTAGAGTTCCAAAGAGCTCCATAAACTACACAAGTAGCAATTCTATCACAACTTCCTCAGGGTAAGTGGTAGTTTACAAACAGAGAAACTAGAGCATTGTGTGGTTAAGACTGCAATGCCCAAAGCCATGGGGCTAAGACATAGTAGAACTCCCGAGTCGTGAGGTCCGGGGGCTCGGCCCAGTCCTTCATGCCATGGCCACTCTGTGCACAGTTGATAGGCACTCAGTTCAAGGGTACCAGGTTCAGGCAAAAACTCAAACCAGCCTTTTTCTTTCTAAACAGAAGATAAATATCTGTCCTTCAGGTAAACTACACCAGATGAGATGACGTTCTTTGTGAGCTCTCAATTTTTTGGAAAATACCCTGAGAGAGCTCTTAACATGTTTTTGGAGGGATTTTTCAACCATAAATGTCACTGTCTTATAACAATTATCTTCCAATAGCCTTTAGACTGAGTCCTTAAGATGACAAAGGGATATTCCCAGAGGTGAAGTCATGCTATCCAATCTTGACATCATTTTCATTAACATCTATAATTTTATAGTGTACAAACTGGACTTTAGATCAATGGCAGATTCATTCATTGATTCAGAAAACACTTACTACCTCCTATGTGCTAAGCATTACTCTAGCAGTAATGCCAGATACAGCAGTAAAGAAAACAACACGACTTCCCCTTCAAGTAGCATGGATTGTACTGACCATCATCTAATAAAGAAATTTTACTAACTAAAGATGCTTCATCACCAAAATTACTTCCATTTACACATATGACAAGTAATATTAATACACTAATAGCAGCATACAATGATATATTGCTTAAGATACTAGTTTACATATCCTAATGAAGAGGACAATTATGACTCACTTGGACTTCAGAATTTCATGGATTCTGAAGAGTATATACCCCTGAGGATGATCAGCTCTTTTCAATATTTTTGCTTCTGATAACAAACTGCTGAAATAACACCTATAACCTGAAACAAACTTCAGATTTTCTGCAACTGCTTCCAGCCCTCTCAGATCTCTCTGTCTGTATTATAGCATGTATATCGGCAAATCGTCTCATTACTTTGCTTTTAGAGTCTTTCCTCAGAAATTACTCACTGGTCTCACTGCATAGTATCCTCATTCACCATGCCTTTGAGTCCCTGATTAAAGCCTAAGGCTCAAGTTCAACTCTACCTCTGAGGAGAAAAACAACCTGGCACACAACTGCAGCACCACCCGAGCCCGTCCTGACTGAGCGCTTGTCAGCCCTGCATCTCATATGCCGCTCAAAACTAAGTTACTATCAACCACATTGCACTTAGCTTTTACAAAGCTGTTTGACCGTATGAAAAAGAATGAGGTGACGTAAGAACACTTCTTGGGGAGAGCACTGCATTTCCCTGCAGTAGGTTGATGACAGGAGTGGGGTGAAAGGTAAGAGCTGAGAGCTGCTGTTGTTTCGTCACTAAGTCGCGTCCCACTCTCTGTGGCCCCGTGGACTGTAGCCTGCCAGCTTCCTCTGTCCATAGGATTTCCCAGCCAAGAATACTGGGGTGGGTTGCCATTTCCTTCCCCAGGGCATCTTTCCAACCCAGGGACAGAAGCCCAAGAGGTGAGAAAGGAGAGAGGAAATCCAAGTGGGTGCTCAATAATGAACTTTGTCTTTACTCTGCCTTCCAAGTCATATGAACTGGAAGGCCCTTCCTTTTGTTAGATGCTATGAACTGAGAGTAGGTATGGATGGATTACAGAAAGCTCTGTATGAAAAGATGAAATCCCCATAGAGAGAGAGGAGCCAGTGATGTCGAACAATGTCTTGGGGGAGAGAAAGAGAGATTAAAAAATTGGTTGAATCTCCCAATTCAAGGTACAGTGTAGAGAAGACCCTTTGGAAAACAGAA